AGTCCTATTCAAGGCGGAACTTTCCCGCCACTACACACCGATATAGATTCAAATAAGTTGTGGTAAAATTGTACCGTGAATGGGACACGCTGCAGACAAGGGCAGCCGATAGGACGGGCATAAGTCCGAGACGGAGGGGGAGGGGGAGGATAGAGCTAGTACTCACCGTTGACGTCGTAGGAGCGCCAGCCGTAGGCCACGTTGAGCTCCTTCCTGCCGTGGAACAGGCCGAGGGCGACGCGGCCCTGCGACTCGTTGGGGTTGGACGTGCGGATGGCGCGCGCCGTGACCCACTGGCGCGTGGTGAGGGCGGCCACGAGCAGCCCCAGCGCCAGGCACGCGCCCAGGAACGTGATGAACACCATGCCCCGCTTCCACAGGTTCATCGTGGTGTGGGCTCCGGGCGGCTTCTGGAGACGACGACGACGACGGCGACGTTGTATTATCCTGGATCACGCACGCGGCCGGGCGGGCGCCGGGGCGGGGCGGGCGGCGTCCACGTCCAGCACAGCGTCCAGCTGCACTGTGGCCGCGGCGGTGCCGGACCCCCGCGCGGGGCCGCTCATGGCGCGACGGCCTGCGGACAAGACAGAGAGGGTGAGGATGGGCCAAGAAGAACAGAGATTTTAGGAAAGAGTTGGACAGATGAAAAAAACACTGAAATTCAATACATCTTCTGAAAACTTTTGTCGCTTTCACCTACGGCATTCTTGTTGCCGATTTAGTATACCACCACTCTGTACGCTTCTGCTGTCCTTGTACGTACGTTTAGATGAACCTGACTTTGGAATGTTTTTCTAACCACGGGTCACCTGGGGACTCGCCGTGGCTGTCCCACAGTGTCCACCCTATATCGATTGCGTGACATGCCCAGCAGGCGCTCCGGGCGGTAACGGCCGGGGAGGCATCTCCTTCCGGCGATCAACTTTTAATGGGCCGATGTCTTCATGGCGGCCGCGGTGGGGCCACGGGGCCGGGCGACCCGGCGGGGCCGCGCGGTGCGTGCGGGGGAAGTCCGTCGGGGGTTAATAATGGCCCTGAGACCCTTGGGCAGCCCAGAGGGGCAGCCGGACAGGCCCGTCGTGTTGCCCTACTTTTGCGAGTCCGCGTCATCATACCCACCCCCTGCTGATACTGTTGAATAGAGAAATGGAAGCCTCCACGGAGGTTATACAGGGTGGTCCACAGACCCCTTCCTTTATTTTGCTTATACTGTCCCGCATGCAGGCGTGCGTGCGGGCTTGCGTATCGTCGTTGCCCACGGCTCCTTGTGGCCCCGTGCGAGTAGGCAACCCGCGCGCACCCGTGCACGCAGTAAATTCTAAAGTGCGCGGCGTGAATCAGACACACGGTATTCCCGTAAAGTCCATGGGTTAACTAGAGGCTTGAGGGTAACTATTCTGCCGTCCAACCAAAACAAAACAAAACACGGAACACCACAACCGAGCGCCCTACTCTGCTCTCCGGTTAGACAGTGTGGAGAACTGTCTGAAAACTATACAGGATGGTCGCTGTGCCCGTCCCGTCAGAGGAAATGCGTAATACTGACCGGCATGCAGACGTGCGCGCGGGTTGCCTATTCGCACGGGGCTATAACTAGGCGCCGTGGCGAGAGTCGGTTTAGGCAAGCCCGACCACACGCCTACATGCGGTACAGTATAGCCATAGAAGAGAGTCCGGCCCAGAACACCCACCCCGTCCTTGACTAGAGTCCCGTGGAATAAAAAGCACGCCTCGCCTTTCAGAGCGTCGTTTATTTGTGCCCGCGGTTCCCGCTCGGTCTGATTTGGCAGGCGTTGGCCGGCGGCCGGCGTCTCGTTGGTGACAACGGCTGCGATCCTTATCGGGGAGGTGCTGCGGCCCGGCCCCGGGGGCTTTGGTCCTGGGCCCGCGGGCAGCAGCAGGCGCGGCATTGTCACGGCGTCACGTCAAACGTGACATTCCCACGGGACGTCGCGTCGGGAGGTCACGATGCAGCCCGACAGAGAGGCACCGCGCCGGCGTGGGGGTCCGGGTCCGGTGGTGTGTCCGAGAGCCTCGCAAAGGAGAGGGCAAGGAAGCACCGAGGAGGATGTAAAGGCGGTACTCGAGTGCTTGTTCTCGCTCCCGCCCTGCGCCGGCGGGGCGGGGCGGGGCAGGGCCGGCAGACTGCCGCGGCGAGATGGCAAGGGACGTCACGGGCTGCATGTCAATGGGACACGAGAACGAGACGGCGCCACGCCGCGCCACGCCGCGACCTACCCCAAGGGGCAGCTCCTTGTGCATGAGCCGGTCGATATATCGGAGAAAAAGAGAGAGAGACGGTCGACATCGACACGACACGCCATGGTTAAGAGCTCTTGACCTGCTTTCAATTTTGTGGAAATTTGCTATACACGCGAAGTGGTGCGCGAAATATCCGGAAGTGTAATCTTTCACCGGTTCACAACAAGTTGAAGGGACTCAGTCTTCTTGGGGCTGTCGGATCGGCGTCTCAAGCGATGCGCATACTTCGTTTACCTACACGGCAGCGGAACCAGTTTCCCTCCGCCTCCGCGCGCGGCCAGGCAGGCAGGCGTCGCGGCTTCGCGCGGACCGGCAGCGTTCATCGGCTTCCTTCCTGCCTGCACTGGGCAGGGCTCGGCTGCCGGGTGGCTGCCGGCTCCTGGGCACCTGGGCACGGACATGGCATCCCTCATCCTTGTTTACACAAGCACTTCCACCTGCTCAGAGCGGTCCGGCCCGCCTCGCCTCGCCGACGTTAGGAAGGACAGTAACTCAGCAAACCGTGCGAGAACTGTGCGAGAACAACTATTTCTTGTGCAGTTTGGGACGTTGGTTATTTACAAAACGCATTCGAGAGGCGGCAGACGTCGTTTCTCCTCATCCCAGCGGAGCGTGGGCCGCGGCGCGAGAGCCGTTTTCCTCTCGATGAAGGGCACTTTGCCCGTGCGACAGGACTTAGGCCCTGCGCTCGCTAACGGCCCAGTGCAGCGCCGCTCAGCGCCGCTCAGCGTCGGGCGTTAGGCCGTGAGAAACACTTGAGCGCGGCAGAGAGAGGCCCCTCGGGTGGTCCGCTGGCTTAGCGCCGCCTGCAGCAGCAGCAGCAGCGACAGCAGTTTCACAGGATTATGATTTGCTGAGCGCTTACGCCCTGTGAGCCGCGGGGAGGCGCGTAACGTAACAGATGACGGCCCTGACTGTGGTCCCGACCCTCCACCTGCTCCACCCACACTCCGCTCCCGGATGACTTGTTATGACTGAGCAAAGAGAGGGTCGCGGAAAGTACACATGGCGCCCATGAGAACCTCCAATCCGAATTGGAAATGGACAGCGCTGGCAGTAGAAACGCCACCAACGACGGCGAACGGCGGCGTTGGCCAGCTTCATCAGCGTCACAGCTTCCGGGTGAGCCGACGGGTGAGGTCTCTGCGCGGGGGTTGGGGCGCGGCCACGCGGCCGCACGCCAGACGAGGCGCGGGTGCGAGGCGCGGGGGTCGGGGTCGGCCTTGGCGCGGGCCTTAGAGATAGTGAAAGGTAAGAGCGGCCATCAGGTGGGCGCCCCGGGGGGGGGGGGGGGGTGCTCCGCTCCACTCTGTCCAGTCCGAGTCCAGTTAGCATCAGGCTCATCGCGATGAGGCGCGTGGGCCACCCAAAACTGTACGCCTCATATGGCAGATGGTTACTTACACAACTTAAGCGTACAGTGACACCATACTTTTTTAAGTGGACACGGGGAAACGTAACCATACGCAAAAGGTACGTAGCCTCTGCCTCTAGGTTATTGTAAATGGAAGCCTCCACGGAGGTTATATTTGGGGGAGAAGAATGAATGTGCCAGGTGGCTGACTCACGCCGCGCACTTTTGTAGTTATACTGTACCGCATGCACTGGTGCGGGCGGGCTTGCCTATCGTCGTTTTTCACGGCTCCTTGTGGCCCCGTGCGAGTAGGCAACCCGCCCGCACCCGTGCATGCGGTACAGTATAAATTCTAAAGTGCGCGGCGTGAATCAGCCACATGGTATTCCCGTAAAGTCCATGGGTTAACTAGAGGCTCGAGGGTAACTATTGCCGTCCAACCAAAACAAAACAAAAAACGGAACACCACAACCGAGCGCCCTACTCTGTTCTCCGGTAGACAGTGTGGAGAACTGTCTGAAAACTCTACAGGATGGTCGCTGTGCCCGTCCCGTCAGAGGAAATGCGTAATACTGACCGGCATGCAGACGTGCGCGCGGGTTGCCTATTCGCACGGGGCTATAACTAGGCGCCGTGGCGAGAGTCGGTTTAGGCAAGCCCGACCACACGCCTACATGCGGTACAGTATAGCCATAGAAGAGAGTCCGGCCCAGAACACCCACCCCGTCCTTGACTAGAGTCCCGTGGAATAAAAAGCACGCCTCGCCTTTCAGAGCGTCGTTTATTTGTGCCCGCGGTTCCCGCTCGGTCTGATTTGGCAGGCGTTGGCCGGCGGCCGGCGTCTCGTTGGTGACAACGGCTGCGATCCTTATCGGGGAGGTGCTGCGGCCCGGCCCCGGGGGCTTTGGTCCTGGGCCCGCGGGCAGCAGCAGGCGCGGCATTGTCACGGCGTCACGTCAAACGTGACATTCCCACGGGACGTCGCGTCGGGAGGTCACGATGCAGCCCGACAGAGAGGCACCGCGCCGGCGTGGGGGTCCGGGTCCGGTGGTGTGTCCGAGAGCCTCGAGGAGGAGCGGGCAACGAGGAAGCACCGAGGAGGATGAAAAGGCGGTACTCGAGTGCTTGTTCTCGCTCCCGCCCTGCGCCGGCGGGGCGGGGCGGGGCAGGGCCGGCAGACTGCCGCGGCGAGATGGCAAGGGACGTCACGGGCTGCATGTCAATGGGACACGAGAACGAGACGGCGCCACGCCGCGCCACGCCGCGACCTACCCCAAGGGGCAGCTCCTTGTGCATGAGCCGGTCGATATATCGGAGAAAAAGAGAGAGAGACGGTCGACATCGACACGACACGCCATGGTTAAGAGCTCTTGACCTGCTTTCAATTTTGTGGAAATTTGCTATACACGCGAAGTGGTGCGCGAAATATCCGGAAGTGTAATCTTTCACCGGTTCACAACAAGTTGAAGGGACTCAGTCTTCTTGGGGCTGTCGGATCGGCGTCTCAAGCGATGCGCATACTTCGTTTACCTACACGGCAGCGGAACCAGTTTCCCTCCGCCTCCGCGCGCGGCCAGGCAGGCAGGCGTCGCGGCTTCGCGCGGACCGGCAGCGTTCATCGGCTTCCTTCCTGCCTGCACTGGGCAGGGCTCGGCTGCCGGGTGGCTGCCGGCTCCTGGGCACCTGGGCACGGACATGGCATCCCTCATCCTTGTTTACACAAGCACTTCCACCTGCTCAGAGCGGTCCGGCCCGCCTCGCCTCGCCGACGTTAGGAAGGACAGTAACTCAGCAAACCGTGCGAGAACTGTGCGAGAACAACTATTTCTTGTGCAGTTTGGGACGTTGGTTATTTACAAAACGCATTCGAGAGGCGACAGACGTCGTTTCTCCTCATCCCAGCGGAGCGTGGGCCGCGGCGCGAGAGCCGTTTTCCTCTCGATGAAGGGCACTTTGCCCGTGCGACAGGACTTAGGCCCTGCGCTCGCTAACGGCCCAGTGCAGCGCCGCTCAGCGCCGCTCAGCGTCGGGCGTTAGGCCGTGAGAAACACTTGAGCGCGGCAGAGAGAGGCCCCTCGGGTGGTCCGCTGGCTTAGCGCCGCCTGCAGCAGCAGCAGCAGCAGCGACAGCAGTTTCACAGGATTATGATTTGCTGAGCGCTTACGCCCTGTGAGCCGCGGGGAGGCGCGTAACGTAACAGATGACGGCCCTGACTGTGGTCCCGACCCTCCACCTGCTCCACCCACACTCCGCTCCCGGATGACTTGTTATGACTGAGCAAAGAGAGGGTCGCGGAAAGTACACATGGCGCCCATGAGAACCTCCAATCCGAATTGGAAATGGACAGCGCTGGCAGTAGAAACGCCACCAACGACGGCGAACGGCGGCGTTGGCCAGCTTCATCAGCGTCACAGCTTCCGGGTGAGCCGACGGGTGAGGTCTCTGCGCGGGGGTTGGGGCGCGGCCACGCGGCCGCACGCCAGACGAGGCGCGGGTGCGAGGCGCGGGTCGGGTCGGCCTTGGCGCGGGCCTTAGAGATAGTGAAAGGTAAGAGCGGCCATCAGGTGGGCGCCCCGCCTCGCGCCCCGCCGCCCCACCCTGCTGGAGCAGCGTCATCATCTCCCCGCCCCGCCGCCGCACCCAACCACGCTCATCATTTTCTCTCTCTGTCAACAATAATACCCGGCCAGGCAGGTCCGAGCCGCCGAGCGTCGCGGCGACGGCGCGACGGCGGCGCGACACCAGAGGGAAGACCTGCTGCGAGGCGCGGGGGGGCCGGCAGCCCTCACCAAGCAACAGCAAAAGGCAGAGGGGGAAAAAAAGGCCCGTTTCGTTTTTCTTTTTTTCGACCCGCGCGGCCCACCGATGGTTTTCGCTCCTGCTCACTCGGGGGTAACAGAATTGAGTTATTCCTAGAGGCGTCTGCTGCGCCGGGGCAAACGGGGCGCATCAGCACATCATGGAGGGTGAAAGGGGCGGCGGGGCCGGGCTAAAGGTCTCTATCACACCTTAGGCTGGGCCTGTGACTGAGTACACACTTAATAATGATGATACTCCTCTCCATGATTCATCCATTATTAGCACTTTCCGTCCTCACTAAATTTTTCAGGGTTGGATTTTAGAGCAGACTCATGGCGCTACTGGGACACTTTTAGGTGGGTCGACGCAGTGGATCTGGGACCGTCCCATCGCTGCCGAGTCTGTTTCACCGTCTCCACACGTGGACCCATACCGCACACGCAGAGTGGGCGTTGCACATTTCTGGAACATTTCAACGATTTCCCCTTTCTTACTCCGGAATAATCGTAAACGTTTCCTCTCTAGATGAACTATATGAGACTACACAGAGATGGACTCTTGCAAGTAAGTAGTGCTTGCCAGTAAGCTGACAACTCTGTGGGATGCCATGGCAGCAGTGTGACAGCAGTGTACACTACCGGATCATTCAATAACTCGCCCCTCTCCGAGAAAGAAGCGCGCCAATCAAACACAAAGAAGACGGTGGCATGATCGCGGTGTGCGCGATGCGCCGCTGCTGCTCGGTGTTCACAAAAACAAATTACCCGTCCGGGCCGTCCGGGCGCGGAGCACACGGACGAGTTGCCATTGGTTGCCATCCCCCACTCCATCTCTCTCCTCTCCGATGGAGAAGCTCATTACTGCCAAGCGACCCACTGCAATAAAAATCACCATGGCAGCGCCGGTCTTCGAGACTCGAAGACGTGGATGAAAGTTTTGTGGCGACAACTCGCCGTATACCCACCGCGACCCGACGCCCCCCCCTTTCCCCCTTTTCCTCTCTCTTTCCCTTTCATTGGAGTGATCAGGCGGGTCTGTGGCCGAGGGGTCAGTCGGCAGGACACTGGGTCACGACCTGGAAAGGGGTGGCGACGGCCTGACGTTTGACGGCGACGCACCCCGTCGAGCAAGAGCACTGGCAATGGCCCCCCGGCCGACCTTAGGTCAACGGTTGTGATCGGTTTGGTACCCATTTTTTTCTAGTAGATGAAGGTGACCGGGATGCTGGATGGATATCGGAACAACGACGTTCAAGGAAATGTTGACTTTCGTTGCGCGACGTCTTTGGGCCGGGTTAATCGTACAGCGCCGCTCAGCATCTATCTCGACCGCGGCACGCCGCCGGGCGCGCAGAGGGTAGGCAACCCCGCGACCCGGGTGCGGTGCGGGTCAGCCCGCCTCCGGGGGACCCCGGTCCTCACCTGGAGCAGGAGCAGGATGGCGGCGGAGGCGGCCCAGCTCCGGGCTCTCCGGCTGCTGCGGCAGTGCGAGGTTAGGCGGCTCCGGGCCCGGTACTCCTCCGGGCTGCTGCAGAGCGCGCACCACAGCGCCTTGCTCGGCGTGCTGCACTCGTCACCAACTCACTACTACCCGACACGCACTCGGGGACGAGGGCCTTCCTCGCGGGGGAGCCGTGGAGACGCTGACGAACAATGAGCGAGAGAGAACGCGGACGAGCGGACGGGACGCGACGGTGTGCGGGCGCGGCGCCGAGTCGGGACCAACTGTCGGGTCGGGCCGGGCTCACGGCTCACCTGGCCTCTCGCCTCACCTGCACAACGGCCGGGCCCGCGGACCGCAGGGGGTGGGGGGCGGGGGGCGGGGGGAGGGAGGGAAGGCTCCTGCATGGGCGCTCGGCTCGGCTCCGGGGAGCTCCTCCGGGCCCGGGCCAACGGTGGAGTAGCCCCCCCCCCCCTCTGCATACACTGTAGTAAACCTGGGGTGTCCAGCAACTGTGCAATTTAAGTCGAACGACCTCACTTTTCTGTGCGACAAGTCGCACTTTTGCAGGAGACCTTGGGTTTTGGCACCCTTTCCCTGCAGAGGGGTCCAGGCAAGGGGGGATGTCCAGTGAAAGGGCAGGGCGCATTACCTTGGTTTTCGCCCACCCCAAATGAGACGCCCTCTTGTTGGACACCCCTTGCCTGGACACCTCTGCAGGAAAAGGGTGCCAAAACTCAAGGTGTCCTATAAAAGTGCAACGCACAACTGCTGGACACCACATATTTACAAAGAGAGAGGTATAGTGGGAACTCATGAAATACAACATCAATATTTTATTCCATAGTAAATTTATTTCTTAAAGATACACAGTCTCATCATTGAATTGTAGAACATACATTCAACCTAACTCCACATTACAAAGAAAGTTTACCAACGTAAACTTTCACCACTGTTTTAATACCCCATTTAGAACATCAGTGTGTTTTCACAAAAATGACAGACTTCAGCCGGACTCTCAGTAAACATAGTTAACACAACATGAAAATTAACATTGGAAAGTTCTGTTCTTTTCCTTAATTAAAGACATATTAATAGTAGTTTAAGTACCAGAATATTAAATGCAAATTTCAGAAGGAGATTTTAGTTAAAAGTTTTATAAAATAAAGACGTTGCAATCTAGCAATTGAGTTTGTTGAAGACACATGACATGATCTAGCAGTCCTTAAAAAATTAAGAAATCCAAATAAAACATTTTATAGAACATGTTTGTGTCGATGTACAGCCTTGTTGCTAGAATCATGTATGGAGTTTAAATATGCACAATGACAACAATAATACGGGGTAAAGACAGAATAATGTTATTAGTTCAGTGTCTGATGACTACCAAGGTGTTAAGAAAACCCTCCTTACAATTGGGTCTCTTAATTTATTGTTTATACAATACTAATTCTAAGCTTAAGTTGCAGTAACATAAATATAAAATAGAATGAAGGAGAGGGAATATATCACACTGGTAAAAAGATACAAGAAAGTTTGATGAAAATAATGTTGACATGATTACAAAACTCAAAACTATGGTGATATTAGATGTCATTCCTGTATGTATTGAAAGGGGTTCCATGACTGAACACGAGACTGTTGTAAAGCTAAATCTGAGATTGGCAATAGATTGAGACCAAGCAGCTGTGTTCAAAAGCACACCCAACAAAAGAAAAAAAAAGCTTTAACGCAATAACTTAGGACATACAGCTCGTGCTCAATGCCTAACGAATAGTGGCATATATCATGGAAACCCTGTCTTCTCAAAATTGATCTTCAACTCTGCCAAATTTGTAAATAAGAGAACCCATAAAGATAAAAATATTCTGGAAAAATAGAGCAAATCCTGGCCAATGAGCTGGTATTTTATCTGCAAAGAGAAGAACATTGTCAGCACCAGAAAAACTCCCTTTTTTATCAGCATTTTTTGTGGATCAAAATACTTACCATTGTTAACATAATTAGCGAAAAGAATCCAGCAGGAAGCTATGACAGATCCAAAGCCCATAACAAAGCCTAAGAAAAGCCACAATCTGGCTCCTCTAGGACCGCAAAATCCACCATTGTAGGCATCTCCTCTCATTTGAGCGTTAGATACTGCATTGATCCTGAAATTTGAAAGAATGGGAGAAAATATTAAATCAAAGACTTTCAAACTACATGCGAAGCCAATCGTACAGTCATTTTACGTACATAAAGAGCGAGAGTGTTCCAAAGACGCCACAGACATGGTAACCATGATTCATCCAATTTGGGTACACAGATTGGGCATCAATGATGAACCACCAACCCATAAAAAACTGTTGAACAATGGAGAAAAATTATTAGATTCAACGATACCATGATCATGCACAGTTAATGCCAGTTACAGAACAATAAAACTGAGAATAAAAGAGCAATCTTTGGCAAATATGGTACATATAACGAAATGCTCGATTAACAAAGTATTTTGTTATTTGAAAATAAAAAACATTGCAAAATTAATGTGTCACTCACAAGAACCCCAGCAAGCATTGATGCTACTGCATTCCTTTTCTGTCCCCCTGCAAACCAGACACATGGTGGAATGGTCACATTATCCAAACAGCTCCCCAAGTTCCCCATGTTTTGGTCGTATTTTGCTTTAAAATACAGAAATATGTTCTCTACAAAAACATTAAACAAGCGGACGACCAACCAAACCACTACAAAAGTGACATTCTCGAAAACAACTCGAGCTACCTGCAAATAGGCACTTTCGGCTCGAAATCAATCGAGTGTATCGTCTTTCTTAGACTTTCTGCGAATAGTGACCCCCTTTTGTTCGTGTTCATTCCACCAGAGTGCAGTAGTGTCTTTTCCTTGCAGACTTCGCTACGGGACCAAGGAAGAATGGCGCTCTGGAATAAAAATTTGTGGTGTGTCTTGTCAAAGGTAATGGTTCTTTTTAAATATTGTTGTACAGTTAAACGTGTTTTTGTCTCCCACGTCCTCTGCAACGTAATCGGGATTCATTGCTTTGCTGTCATTGCCAATATTAACCTTGCCTCGAATCAGAGGGTGCCCCTCGTTACACGATTTTTATCAATGTATTTTATGGAACTAAGGAAAGGATGAGATGTTTAACGGCATCTAGCCAATAGAAAAAAAAACTATTGTTTATAGCATACTTTGGTTAGATCTGTAAATTTAGTTTGAGTAACCAATTGGAGAGCTTTCAGAAACCTCCTTCAACCTAGGTTAGGCAACTTTAATATATACTTAAATATAGCTTTTGCTGTGACAGTATTTTAAACCATTCTCTTGAGGATGCATGTTGAATTTCTATCAGTTTATCTTGTTTACTGCTGTACTGCTGTCGTTGTAACACTAACTAAACTGTTGTATTATACTTTAAGGGGGTGTCTTCTAGTTTATTCTGGATAGGAATTATAATTTTAATTAAACCTATAATTAAATGTGTTAACTTATATCCTTTAAAAAAAATTCTTCAGGTGGCACAAAACGTGCCAGCAACATGTGTGGCCCCATGCAACCGATTGATTCATTCTTCACCTCCTGCTGCAATTGTAAGTCAATCACTCGTTTTATTAAGTAATAATAATCATTGTCCAATGATGTACTCTTTCTAGTAAATGAACGTCATGCCTTTGTGGTTGTTACAGCAAGCAGAGGTATCAAAACCTGAGGGCCGTACAACTTGCACTTTGATTCCCGGTGATGGTGTTGGCCCAGAACTTGTACACTCAGTACAAGAAGTGTTCAAGGTATGATAGGCAGCATTCTCCAGAAGTCCAAGATAATCATCATGCTCTTCCTAAATTTTGTTTTATCCTATCAGGCTGCTGGTGTCCCTGTTGATTTTGAGCCATTCTTCTTCTCCGAAGTGAATCCCACTCTTAGTGCTACTTTAGAACAGGTTACGAACTCAATAACCAAGAATGGCATCTGTCTGAAGGTAGTATGGATTTTATTTGCTTTGATTGTTTAATGTCATATTCTCATCTGCCAAAAATCTAATGCTTTGTATTTTTGATGCAGGGTGTACTTGCCTCACCTGACTACTCCAATGTTGGAGAATTGCAAACTCTGAACATGAAGCTCAGACGCTCACTTGATCTGTATGCTAATGTGGTACATGTTAAATCTCTGCCTGGTGTCAAGTCTAGGCATCAAAATATTGACACTATCATTATCCGTGAGATGACAGAGGGCGAGTATTCAGCCTTGGAGCATGAAAGTGTAAAGGTATACTTCTTTCCTTCAATATCGTGCAATATTCACTGTTCTTCTCTTGTTACTCAGTAATTTTTTGTATTGCACATAGGGAGTTGTTGAGTGCCTGAAGGTTGTAACCAGGACCAAGTCTCAACGAATCGCTAAGTTTGCATTTGACTACGCAACTAAGACTGGTCGGAAGAAGGTGACTGCTGTTCATAAGGCCAATATTATGAAGCTTGGCGATGGCCTGTTCTTGAAAAGTTGTCAAGATGTAAGTTGAGTTTGAACTTGCTTTTGATATTTATTTTTTCCTATTTCCAAGCTAACATAAAAATAAATATTATTTTGCAGATTGCAAAGCTGTACCCAAAGATTGAGTTTGAGGCCATGATTGTGGACAACTGTACTATGCAGATGGTTTCAAGCCCACATCAATTTGATGTGATGGTGCTACCTAATTTGTATGGTAACATTCTGGATAATCTTGCTTGTGGCCTTGTTGGTGGAGCAGGTGTTGTCGGTGGTGCCAGCTACAGCCCTGAATGTGTTGTGTTTGAGCCGGTATGCCAGTTCTCATAACTTACATTTGCATCAATATCAAACTTTATCTACTTTGTTCCTTATACTGGTTCATTCCTGTTCCAGGGTGCAAGACATACTTTTGCCCAGGCTGTGGGTAAAAATGTGGCAAATCCTACTGCTATGTTGCTGTGTGCTGCCAAAATGCTTAACCATGTAAATCTTCGTTTCTATGGAGATATGCTTCGTGGTGCTATTGACAAGGTTCTGAAGGGTGGCAAGGTAATTATATTGAATCTTACACCAATATTTTGGGCCATGTGCTATTTCTAATAATCATTCCAACTCTTGTTAGGTTCGCACCAAGGACTTGGGTGGTCAATCCACCACTAAAGAATTCACCTATGCCGTTATCAACAATTTACGCTAGTCTTAGGTGGAATTTCTTCTTAGGTTGATTTGGTTTCTACTCATGAAAAGCATCTCTTTTCATAACTCCTTTTTTTAATATTTGTCAACAGTATTGGAATTTTATTTATTCTATTATTTATCTCAATTGAACCCTCGCATTTTTTTTATGTGGAGTTATGTTTTTTTTCCCCCTCATGTAATAAATTAATGGCTATGAAATTGAAATTGTATTTGCTGCGCCTAGTCAATTTCAGGCTTGTGCCTGTCTGGTATTGTGATTTGTATTATACAGGTATGGGAAACTGTAGCGCTGTGCGCTGTTTAAACTAGCCCTGTGTTCTTTTTTATAGTGTTATCTTGTTTGTAAAATAGAATGTTCCATGTGTTCACTGATATTATGAGGAGAATTCTAGGAATGATTTTAATCAATAAAGGCCACAGTGCTATTGTCTTGTTTACACCTTGCTTATTATTGAGTAACCAAAAGTTACTACAATAAATTCAGCATTACAA